AAAGATGTAAAAATAAATGTTGGGTGTGCTCCAGAAGAGGGGTTAGACGAGACACCAAAGAAATACAATAATTTACCCAAATTTTGGTAAAATATAAAAGATGAGGTTGTGCCAATTAAATAGATACCCAACAACCCTTACATTTGTGTGCACCTATGAAATTGTGTCAAAGTTCAGTACCCTATATTTTCTATAGACAAAGCTTCAAAACCCCTATAGGTCATCAGTTTAGTGTTACAGAGGAGGTCTGGTGCTATAATTATTGCTCTCACTTCAGCGTGCGTGGTGATATGTAACATGTGTATTGCAATCGACGGTTTTCATGTATAGACTCCCCAATGTGGGCATTTATGTTCGTACATACGTATATATGTGGGAGTTGGGGGACTCAAATTTTTTTTCTGGGGGAGATGTTATCCGTTTGGGTGTAACGTTTTTTACAAACAACATTTTTTTTGTTTAATTTACTTTTTATTTTTTTTTTTCATCACATAGGGAACACACAGGGCTGTCTTTAATATTGATTGGACCCTGGGTAAACATTTTCTTGGCCTCCCGTCCCCCGTCCCCCCCCTGAAATTTTGCTCTCCACCTGCTCTGAGGCATACAATAAATAGCAGCTAAACTCAAAATCAGTTTACTGTAGCAGATCAGACAGCAATTGATTGCTGGAGGTTACAGCATATCAATACCGCCCACTGACTGGTTGCTAGAGATTACAGCACACATTACAGCTGATTTATTAGTTGCTAGAGATTACAGCACATGATTTCTGCTTGCTGATTGGTTGCTAGAGGTTACTGCACATCATTACTGCTCACTGGTTGCTAGAGGTTTCTGCACATCCTTACCGTTCACTGATTGGCTGCTAGAGGTTACTGCACATCATTACTGGTTGGTTGCTAGAGGTTACTGCACATTATTACCACTTATTGATTGGTTGTTAGAGGTTACTGCACATCATTACCACTCACTGATTGGTTGCTAGGGTTTACAGTAATTAATTACGTCTCACTGATTGGTTGCTGAAGGTTACAGCACATCATCTCACTGCCTGCACACCATGGACTGAGAAGGTTACGGGACCCACCAATAGACAGAAAAACCCTGGGCAGGAGGATGTGATTAGTGGCAGGGCTCTGGGGAGGGTTGATGGGATCAGTGGCAGTGGTGGGGAGGATGGGATAAGTGGCAGTGCTGGGGGGATGGGATATGGTAAGGGGGATTTACACTGACCACCAGTGTAAGGGCAATTCTGCATTGACCACCAATGTAAAGGGAAATTTAAACTGGCCACCAATATAATGGAGAATTTACATTGACATCCAATGTATTGGTGGATTTTACACCAACAACCAATACATTTCTACACTGGCCACCAATGTAAGGGGGAATTTGCACTGACCACCAGCAGAGATGTTGGTGGCTGGAACCTCTGGGGGCATAATATATATATATGAATACCACACTGCCGTTTCTATTTACATATGAATGCCACACTGCTATCACTATTTACATATGTATGCTGGTTATGTTCATGTGAATGCTGACACTGTCTGCACACCTAAGTGATCTGTACATGGCAATAGGACAGAGCTGGGCAGCATAAGTGACAGCATTTCACACTAAGATATCGGACACAGTCTGGGACAAAGACTTCCAGGGACAAAGGAAGATAAACCAGTACAGTTGGCAAGCATGGGACAGCTGCTTTGGGCCCCACAAACAATGACTGGGCTCAAGGCAGCTGTCCCTTTTGCCCCTCCTTAAAGACAGCCCCGGGGACACAAAGTTCCCTATGTGATGATTTTTTGGGTGACAGGTTCTCTTTATTGAGGCATGCAGGGTATAAAAGTCCCTGCATGTCTCCTCTGTGATCCATTAGATGTATTACAATGCCAAGAGCATTGCAGTACATTTTTCCCGGGCCATTGTAGCTGGGAAAGTGAGAGCCATGACCCAGAAGACGTGGACGTCGCCTTCCAGGTCATACAAAGAAGGGGAGGAGAGTGGACATGTTTTCGCTCTCCTCTCTCCCCCCACCCATCAGCATCCGGGGATGTTTTTTGATGCATGGGTGATTTTCTACGAGGCTTTTTTGTGTATTATATTAGGATGTTTTTGCTGCATGGGTGGATTTTTAGTGGAACACAATTAAGATGGTTATTGCATGTTTCTGAAAATTGATATATATGCACATGCTGTTTTTGTTTTTAGGGAGCGCAGCACAATAATTTATTATTTACCATTATATACACTATTATATGAGTTGGGTGTGAAGTGTTTGCGAACCACATATTGTTTTTATTTTTGGTTTATTTTATGTTTTTTATTTATTTTTTAAAAAATAGTATATTTTATTTTGTTACACATTTTGAAGGTGAAAGTCACTATATTGGCTCACGAGTCTCTTTAAAAAAAAAATTTTTTGCCTCTTACTGGATATTTTCTCCTTTTCGGACCATTCTCTGTAAACCCTAGAGATGGCTGTGCATGAAAATCCCAGTAGATTAGCAGTTTTTGAAATGCGTAGACCAACCTGTCTGGCAACAACAACTATGCCACGTTCAAAGTCACTTAAATCCCCTTTCTTCCCCATTCTGATGCTCGGTTTGAACTTCAGCAATTTGTCTTCAGCACATCATGATGTAAAATGCATTGAGTTGCTGCCATGTGATTGGCTGATTAGCAATTTGTGCTACCAAGCAATTGAACAGGTGTACCTAATAAAGTGGCCAATGAGTGTATGTTCGTTTTATATACACAATCATGCAATAGCTAATGGCTTCTTTTTTTTTCTTGTACATAACTAGGTAAAGTGAACACAGGTTCATTTTATTTGCCAACATTTAGTAAAGTGACAACTATTTTCTCCTTTAGTAAACCAACTACATTGTTTTAGATTGTGTGAGCACACTACTGTTTTATGGGGACTTTTTAAGTAAGCTGATGTTAATTTTGAACTACATTCATGTGCCTATTTGTCCATTGAGCACCATTATAGTGAATTTAATTCACTAATGAAAAAAAATGTTCAGACCCTGCTATTTTAACCAGATATTGACATACATAATAATAGAAAAGAATAAAATAAGCATGGAGAAAAATTACGATTATTTTGGTGTATTTAGCATTCATGCATGTAACCCTTATCTTTAATCCAAACACAGGTTTTTCAGACAGAAAGAAAAGCAGAAAAGCAGAGCTTTGGGATTTAGCTTACAACGTAAGCACATTAACTCCAATTTATACAAAAAGAGCTGCTAAGCCTCTGAATTATCAATAAATATAGCTTGCTTGTTTTTGTGATTACTGTAGTACACCAATCCAGATAATACTTTATATTGTAAATATAACACATTGCATGGCATTTAAACTGTTGCCTTTTTGTAAAAAGCCCAGATACACATTTTCATGTCCTGAAATGCCTGATGCAGACTAGAGCTTCTCTATTTCTCTTGGTATAAAGACATACAATAATTCTGTATGGAATGTATGCCAAACTTTATTTTGTACTGCTCTCTATTTTAGTGGTTTTTAGTTTGGGTTACCTTTATTCAACTAGGGCATAAGTGTTCAAGCAAAAATATACACCATTGTATGCCATATATTATTTATTTTTATGTTACTTTGTGCTGTGTATTTGACATTTTACTTTGCAATATATATTATTTTTTTCTACATGTAATAAGTGTCCATATATAAAATTTCATTTAAAGCTTAACCCCTTTATAACAGAATTGACAAGTTGTGAATGCAGTTTATCAGTATTAAAATATCTTGCATTAGTAATATCTTTTCCCTTTAGGAATGGTTGACACTGGCATTAGGCGTTTTGGGCACATTTTTGCCATTTCCTGAATACCTAGCAAATGCAGCCAAGAATATATAAATGGAGAGCAGACAGAGCTGTTAACATTTAAAAAATGTATAGCATTTGTATTGCTTCACTTTCTTTTTCTTATCTAACATGGTAATTTTGCAACCATTTATAAAACATGCATTTTTAGAAAAAAATACACTAAAATTAGTTTTAGTGCACACAAACCCAAATTAATATCCAAGTTTTTTATAAAATGTAAAAGATGTTGTTGCATTGATTAAATATATACAGGTAATGTTAAGATTTAAATTGTGCATGTCCATGAAATGGTAATAAACTACGATACCTAATATTGTCCATAGGTGACATTTTAAAAACGTTAAAAGTGTATCAGTTTAGAGTTAGTTGCAAATTTTGGCCCTAGAACTATTGCTCTCACTCGATCCTTGCGAAGATACCTCAAATATGCGCCAGACGTGTGCTTTTATATTTGTTTTGGTTATTTTTATTTATTTTATTAAAATCTTTCTTTTTGCTTTTTTTTTTCATTTAACTTTATTGCTAACAAGCCACCTTGTGATGGCTTTGGGAAGTTGACTGGTACTCTTTAGAGTGACATCAGAGTTATAATAGAGCCCTGATGTTTCCCCTGCTATCCAAAGCAGCGGACCAGGCACAGTCCATGCCCTAGATAAACATATTTCATATATGTAAATAAAGGAAGCTACTTTTAGAAATGTATTTCACCTTTTTTTCAGCAATCCACTAATCTGGGTTCCATTTTTAGAGATCTTACAATGAAATCCCTCACACTGCGGATGGTAAACCTTCTTTATTCCGATCACAAAGCATGCCCTTGTATAGTTTCTGGTACTATTGAAGTAAAATGTTTCCTCTGAAACTATGTGGGCACTCTCATTAATTGCCTTTTTAATTGCATTTTCTGAAGAGGGGCCAATTCACTTCAGCTTAATTTTGCCAGATACATGCCCCAAATTGATTTAGTTGACCGGTTTCCCTTTCCACTTTTATTACATCTTTTTTAGAGATGAGCGAATTATTCAAAAATTCGATTCGGCTAAATTCGCCGAATTTGCGGAATAAATTCGATTCGATGCAAATTTATTCGCTCTGCGAATTTAACTTATTAAAAGGGTTTCTAGGCTTCAGAGAGCCTTTATATTAGTGCAGAACACTGTACCTTTAATTTAAATGCCCTTGGAGTCTGCTGGGGAAGAGAAATAATACTGTCAGTCAGTTTGACATGCAGATGAGTGCCGTCGATCTTAGAATCACCGCACACTTCACTCATTTGGGCAGTCACGGGGCCAAAAACCAGAGTGTGGAGCCACAGTGTGGCGGTGGAGGCAGCAGCAATGGGAGGCCATACAGCACCCTATTGGAACCCACCAGCAGTGTGAGGAGACCTGAAAGTGGCACATGGCAGAGTGTGGCGATGGAGACAGCAGCAATGGGAGGCCGTACAGGGACCCATGACACACTCTGGACCTGGCCAGCTGAGGAGGCGGTACAGGGGCCAATGGCAGAGTTACGTAAGCAGCATAAATTGAAGGCCATACAGAAGCCTATTTAAAAAGTCCCCCCAGCATCAAGAGTCAATGGCAGAGTGGCGGAGCAGAAGCAGCTTCAATTGAAGAAGAAGAGGATGAGGTGAAGAAGAAGAAGGAAGAAGAGGATGATAAGAAGAAGAAGAAGAAGAAGAGGATATGAGGATGAAGAAGAAGAAGAAGAAGAAGAAAGAAGAAGTCAACTGAGAAGAAGAAGATGAGGATGAAGAAGAAGAAGAAGAAAAGGATGAGATGAAGAAGAAGAAGAAGAGGATGAGGATGAAGAAGAAGAAGAAGAGGATGAAAAGAAGAAAAGAGGGGATGAAGAAGGATGAAAAGAGAAAAAGAATGAGGATGAAGAAGAAGAAGAAAGAAGAAGAGAGGAGAGGATGTTGATGAAGAAGAAGAAGGGAAGATGAGGAAAGAAGAGAAGAAGATGAAAAGAAAGAAGAAGACTGCAGAAGATGAGGATGAAGAAGAAGGATGAGGAAGATGAGAAGAAGAAGAGGATGAGGATGAGGAAGAAGACGAAGAAGAAGAAGAAGAGGATGAGGATTGAAGATAAGAAGGAAGAAGAAGAAGGATGAAGAGAAGATGAGGATGAAGAAGAAGAAGAAGAAGATGAGGATGAAGACAGAAGAAGATCGAAGAATGAGAGGAGGGTGGATGAAGAAGAAGAAGACTGAAGAAGATGTGGATGAAGGAGTGTGGAGCCCAGCCGTGTCGGTGGAGGCAAGAAGGCCACCTAACAGCAATGACAAAAATGGAAGCCTGAGGATGGCACATGGCAGAGTTGTCGCTGGAGAAATGGGATGAGCCGCTAGAACCATGACACACTCTCCTGGACCTGGCTCCAGCAGCTTGAGAGACGAGTAGGCGAAAAGCAAAATTGAAGGAACAGAGGTTAGTCCCTCCAGCGCTGCAGGTGAGAGCAGGACTATCATCAGAGAGGCAAGAAGAAGAACGAGGGATGAGGATGAGAGAAGAAGAAGAAGAAGATGAGAAGATGAAGAAGAAGCCCAACAGCATGAGGTGAAGAAGAAATGAAGCGAAGAAGGGATGGAGGAGAAGAAGAAGTGAGGATTACAGAAGAAGAAGAAGAAGGAGAGGATGAAAGAAGAAGAAGCAAAGACGAAGAAGAGGCCATGGCAGAGGAGAAGAAGAAGGAAAGGATTGATGATTGAGGATACAGGGAAGAGTGTAAGGAAGAGAAGATGGCAAGAGGACGAGGATGAAGAAGAAGAAGAATGAAGAAGAAGAAGAGGATGAGGGATGAAGAAGCAGAAGAGGATGAGGATGAAGAAGAAGAAGAGAGAGGGATGAGGATGAGGATGAAGAAGAAGATGAGGGATGAGGATGAGTTCCCCATGAAGAAGAAGAAGGGATGATGGAGAGGGTGGGAAGCAATGACTGTAGGAATGAAGAGAGAAAAAGGATTGAGGGAAGAAGGAAAGGAAGAGGATGGGAAGAAACGAGGAAGAAGGAAGAAGATGAGGGAGAAGTGAGAGATGAAGATAGAAGAAGAAGAAGAAGAAGAAGAAGATGAGGATGAGGATGCTTGAAGGGATGAAAGGAAGAAGACTGAGGTATGAGGAAGAAGGGATGCGAGGATGAGGAAGAAGAAGGAAGGAGAGATGAAGAGAGAAGATCCTAGGAGGATGTGGTGAAGAGAGATGGAGGATGCATGCAGAAGAGGATGAGGATGAGGATGAAGAGAAGAAGTAGAGGATGTGGTCATCTGATGAGGCAGAAGAAGTCAAGCAGTATCCTCCTCTCGATGTGAGAAGGTGGCATGTTGATGTTGGACCACAGGGATGGGCAAGGGAAGAGGGGGATGAGGGGTGAAGGGGAGGGGGAAGCGTCAGGGGGTGGAGGGGAAGAAGGAACGAAGAAGAAGAGGGAGCCTCCTGAGGCTGAAGAGGGGGATGAAGAAGTGGGGAGATGAGGAAGACAGAGGAAGTGGAGCCCCCCTATACCTATCAATGAAAAGAAGAAGTCTAAGAAGGGGGCAGCAGTATCCTCTGTCTGCAGAGAGCTCCCGCTATTTTGACCAGTCTCTGTTCCTCTTCATCTTCACATTTACATGGGGGGGGATCAGTCCCACCTGAATACAACATGCATCTGTATCCTCTTAAATGGAACAGTCACAATAGTTCCCCAAACGTTTCAACCACTGTAACTGTAGCCTGTCAAGGTCCGAACTGGTTAGGTATATGCAGGGGCATAGACACTTTGGTGTCTGGCTGTTAGAAGGGATGAAAGGGTCGGGATTCGTTGATTTGCATGGGCAAATTTGCCTAATTTGTCCTGCTCGAATGTACAAAAGTTCGATTCACTCATTTCTAATCTCTTTTCTGTGATGCACAAAACTGAATGGTATATTGTTAGTTGAGACATTCAACTGAGGGAAAAAAAAAGTACAAAAGCCTTGTGGTGTCACTGAAAGGAAACTGCCCATGCTTCATTGTTGGTGGGAGGAAAAAAAAGGCACTTTTCACAGTGGGAGTGAAACAACCTGTACAGAGGAAGTTACAGTAGCAGCAAGCAATACAGAAGTGGGCAGTTGATGGTGAGGGTGGGAAATTTAAGGGTGGGCAATTGATGTTGTGGACAGGAAACAATAAGGGTAACAGTTGATGTTGGGGACAGACAATACAAAAGGGGTAGTTGTTGACACAGGCAGCACAGAGGGGGCAGTTGATGGTCTGGGAGGGTATGTCTAAAATCCCATTACAACATTATGGTCACTGCTATCCAAAAGATCTTTCATGTGGACATTCGTAATAAGCTCTGCATAGTTTGAGATTACTAGGTCCAGCAGAGCATCATTCCTAGTAGGGGCTTCTATTAACTGTACCATAAAATTGTTCTGTAGTAGGTTTAACAATTTTTTCCCTTCCAACTGTTCCTGCAGTACCATTACTCCAGTCAATTTCTGGGTAGTTAAAATCCTCCATTATTATCACTGTCCCAGCCCTTGCAGCCCATTCGATCTGTGCAAGAAGCTGAGTTTCCACCTCCTCATTAACACTGGGAGGTCTATAACAAACTCCAATAATTATCTTTGTAGTACGCACCCCCATGTGCACTTCCACCCATAATATTTCAGCCTCATCACACTCTCCATCAACTAGGTCCTCTTTCACACTCGCTCTGAGATCACTTCTCACATAGAGACAAACACCACTGTCTTTCCTTTTTACTCTGTCTCTCCGAAAGAGAACATAGCCAGGAATATTAATGGCCCAGTCATGCGAAGAATCAAGCCAAGATTCAGCAATACCAATTAAATCATAGTTCTCTTCATGCACCAAAGCTTCCAACTCACTTATTTTTCTTGGCAGACTTCTGGCATTGGTGAACAAACACTTTAATTCATTGACATCTTGTTCACACATATTTTGCATTTTTTTTTATTTTCATACAAATGGTACCAATTCCACTGGTTTGTTTGTAATATGGGATCCTTCTTATCATCTGCCAAAGCCTTCCCCCCCATCGTTCCCCATTCCACCCACCAATAAGTACAGACCCCTGTCTGATCTGTCTACCTTGTTATAATCTAATTCTCTCTCCCCCCTCCTTTCTAATTTAAATACTCCTCCAGCCTTCCCATAAACCTCTCCCTAGAACAGCAGACCCCCTTCCATTTAGGTGCAGACCATCTCTAGCATATAGGTTGCACCCCAATGAAGAAAAGTCAGCCCAGTGCTCTAGAAACCCAAATCCTCTAATCTCCTCCTGTCTTTCCTGAGTTGCGCATGGCACAGGTAATATTTTAGAGAATATCAGCCTAGTTCTTTAAATTGATTCTTAAGGAGCCTCCACCTTCCATGTATTCTGTCATTGGTTCCAACATGAACCAAGACAGCTGAGTCATGCCCAGCCCCTCCCAGTAATTTATCAACCTGGTCCACCACATGCCGAACCCTGGCACTAGGGAGCTAGCAAACCATTCGGTTGAGGCGTTCCTGGCTACAAATTAATCTGTCAGTCCTTCTGATTATAGAATCCCCTACTACCACCAGCTGTCTAAAACTTCCTGCATTACCCTCACCACCCCTCCCAGATGGTCTACCGTCCCGGCTGTTAGGGATAGCAGTGACATCCAGGGCTGCCACCCCTGAGCTTGCCACCCCCACATCTTCACCCAACTTGGCAAATCTATTTGGGTGCTCAAACCAAGGGCCAGCCTTCCTTTTCTGTGAGCCCCTACCACTCCCTCTTGTTACAGTAACCCATCTTCCTACCTGATAATCCTTATTAGCCCCTCCTCCCTCCACATCAATCCCATTAGCTACCTGCTCAGAGAGCAGAAGACCCCTTTCAAGGGTGTCAGATCTGCCCAGTGTTGCAACATGTTCCTCCAGATCTCTAATGCGAGTTTCCAGAAGGGCAAGCTGCTTACAACTGTCACAGTGGTATCCATCCTGTTGCTCCATTGCTGCATACATGCGGCACACTGTGCACTGCACAAAACCTTCAACCCTGCTAGCACTCGTATCCCAGTTACAAAATTAACAGGAAATATCAGTTGAAACTTACAGGTTAGTAGACTCCTGTTATAAAGTCCTGTTTCCAACTCTGGTTTTTTAACTCCACTCATCAAATGTCCACTTGGTCAAAGGAGCACCAGCAATCACCAGCAGTCAAATGTAACATGTTACTAAAGCAGCAGCCCTGAACCCCTCCCCCCCCCCCAATCCTCTCCCTGCTCCCACTGTCACAATTAAAAACAGTGCCCACACAACTGCATCATTTATTCACAGAGTTCTATGGATGAATGAACTGCAAGTTCCATCGTTCACCATGGCAGACAGCTTGTAGTTCTCAATGAACTGTGAGAGCATTGGTGAATGTCCTCTTAGTTCATTGTTCTTCCTGCACTTCAGTAGCTGTCTAGCTGTATGGGAGATACAGGCAGATAGCTGTACTGAAAGTCTGCAGGAGCCTGACATTACATCCGCAATCTACTGATCGTGGGTGCAATGCTCTGCAGGCTCCTAAAAATATTATAAATACACATTTTTTAACCTGAATGAAATGTGCATTTATTATTTTTTTCACAAAAGTGAACTTATCCTATGTCAGTATCCTAGGATCCTGGTGTGCAGAAATGCTGTCTTAATATTTGCCTTTCCATGTTAATGAATAATTTATCCAGGTTTCAGAAGTGTAAAACAGGTGACACTGTGGCTCTGCAGTGTGAGACATATTCAACTGCAGCTATTGATGGAGTTTTAGAAAGCAAATGTAATTAAAATAAAATAAATAAATCTGCACTAGGAAATAACAACCAATAAGATAAACTTAAAAGGGTTTAGAAGCAGTACTCAATGATCATCTGAATACAAGACATCAAAGCGTATAAACATAAAACCATTTGCATGTCTTCTTTAACCACTTGCCGCCCTGCCACTGTAGAAATACGGCGGCAGGGCAGCACGGGCAGGCAAAACCAAGTTTTAAAAAGTGTGTTTTGTAAACAGGTAGGGGCCGCGCGCGAGGCGCGCCGCCGCCCTGCTTGTCCTGCCGATCACAGCCGCGGATGTCAGTCGCCGGGTCACAGCCGGTCCTTACCGGCTATGACCCGCGATCGGCGGCAATCAGTGACAGAGAGCACAGCTGCAGTAGCTGTGCTATCTGTCACTTCCCTGACAGCTCAAGGATGAGCTGACCGGGACAGAAGAGTTTCCCTCTCCCGATCAGCGGTGTTCCTTCAGTACACACCCCCCCCCCTAGTAAAACACTCCCCTCACTCAGATAACCCTTCCCTGCAAAATAAAGTTAACCCCTTCCTCCCCAGTGCCATTAGTACAGTGTCCGTGTTTTTTTTTTTGCACTGATCACTGTATTGGTGTCACTGGGGATGTCA